ACCCACAACCAGGAATAGAATCCAGGAGTCCTGACACCCAGCCCCTCCCACCACTCTCATCCACTAGGCCCCACTCCCCTCCCACAACCAGAAATACAACCCAGGAGTACTGGTGCCCCCAACAGGCAGCCAAGCTCTGTGCCCAGGGCCAGCCCTGGCTGCCTGTCACATGGCCGGGGAGGTGTCACTACAGCTGCTGACGTGGGCCCGAGCTGTCTCAGGACCCTCCTCCTTTGGCAGCTGCTGCTGAAGCTGCCAGCAAAGTTGAGGAGGTCCCACTCCAGTGAGGGGAGCGACTGGACAGTGAGCGGCCAGGTAAGGGGCCTAATGGGGCAGGGAAGGACTTTTCTGGCCAGCCTCTTAGCTAGGGAGAAGGTACCCAGGCTCCTGGCGCTGGCGGGGGGCTCGCCAGTCGCAGGCTGCCCACCATTCTAGGGCTGAAGCCCTCGTGAGATGCTGCTCAGAGCCTAGAAAGATACGTGGGGAGGGGGACATCTCTGCAAGGCTCCCGCCGAGAGCATGTGCCAGTAGGAAAAACCCTGCGGTGCTGCTGCCCGGGCATCCCATACAGGTGCAGAGAGCCACCGCCGGGCTAAATCCTACCACTACAGCCACGCACGGGCATCATCCGGCTGGAACCACGCACAGCCAACGCCGGGCTGGTGCCACGCACGCCCATGATCGGGCAGGAGCCACGCACAGCCACCGCCAGGCTGGTGCCACGCACGGCTGCAGGTTGTCTGAGGCACAACTTTGCAAGAGGAAAGGCGCTGAGCCGGCGATTCAAACCACATGTTGTCTGTCTCCACACCGCCCCCGGCACGCAAGGAAATGCAGTGTTCAAAACAACATCTGGGGGAGCCACCCAGGCTAAGCCGGGCTGTCCAGGCTGCAGGGACCGAGAATAAAACAGAGGGGCGGTAGGTGGGACTCTACTCCTGGGAACGGTCGAAAGGGGCGGACTAGGCAGGGCTGCTGCCTGTCCAGATTTTCCAAGGATGGGCCCATTCTGGAGGTAGCTGTTCTGGGAAATGTGCAAGGATGCTTGCGTGGCACACGCTGCCGGGTTCCCAGTTTCACCCCACCTGTCCTATGTTTTTGTACCTCTGAAGTGGCAGCCCTAGGACGAGGCCCCAGGCTTCCCAACGCCCACGAGGGGGGCATGCGATTGGTAAGAGAGAGAAGGAGGAAAATCCAGGTGTGTTGTTTGTGGGAGACGCAGATCCCCATTTTCCAGATGGAGAAACTGAGGCCAGGGGTAAATGACATGACTTGCCCAAAGTCACCAGGCAGCAGAGGAACCCTGATCTCCTGGATCCCTGCCCTGTACCCCATCCCCATGGCAGCCTCCCTCCCTCTCAGTGGGTGTGTCTCTGATTGTCGGAGGCATCACGCCTCCCTGCGGCTCCGGTTGCATTTGGCTGCTGTTTGCTCAGCGCCTCAGCCGCAGGGCTGCATTTTGGATGGACTGCCGTTGGTTTCGCGCGCGGGCCGAGGGTCCTGTTTAACTGGTGACGTGCCAAGGATAGTCCATTTCAGAACTCGGGGGGGAGGGGAAGGGGCAGAACTGGACAGAGGCAGGGGTAATTGACAAGGCTTGGTTGTCAGATGCAGTCCCCCAAAGCGACTCGATTGAAGGGGTCTCCGGGGAATAGCCCCCTGGCCAAAAGGGGGCATGGCGTATTTTGGAATCAGTGATAAAGAAGCAGAGAGGGCCTGGGGGATGCAGAGTCTTGAAGGGCTGCTAATCCTCATCGCTGGCTGCAATGTGGGGGCGCCACCCAGAGCTAGCTGCATCCCGTCAAATTGAGGTTTGTCCTGGGGGGTGCGGTGGAGTCTGATGAGGCCCCAGCAGGGAGGTGGGTTAGAGAGAACAGGACTCTCCTCTCATGATTGTTTTATTCCACATGGGTCTTTCCCCCCCACCCAGTTCCCTCCTTCCCATCTGTGCTGAGCGTGGGCTGCGCCCCAGGGTGCTGGAGACAGAGACTCACTCTGCTCACGCCGCAGCTCGGCTCACAGGAAGCCAGTGCCCCTCGCCGAGCGGAAATGCGGTACCTGCGCTGTGCGCGCCGGGGGGGTGGGTGGGGGTGACTGTACGAAAACAATTAAAACCAGGTCCTTTGTGCTGCCTCGAGGGCAGGGGGAGGGGAGTGAGGCTGGGCCAGCGGCTGCCTTTTCGGGGTCCCTGACTTCAAGACCCCCCAGCCGCTCCTCCAACCAGCCAGAGCATCTCAGAGACGGGCACCAAAAACACACACATATCCCCACCCGGCCCTTGGCCAGTCACGCCAGTCCTTAATTCCCCTCCTTGGTGCCAACCGGCGCCTTGGTTCTTGGCTGCACAGGAGAGGGTGTGGACTGGCCCCATGCGCGGCAGAGCAAACACCAATCCCGCCACTGGAGATCCCGACAGGCGCGCTGTGTCTGGCTCCCCCTTCCCATAGTCACATGCAGAATGGGCAGTCAAGAGCCAGGACTCCTGGGTTCCATCCCCAGCTCTGAGAGGGGAGGGGGGATCTAGCGGTCAGAGCGGGGGGCTGGGAGTCAGGACTCCTGGGTTCCACCCCTGGCTCGGCTGATAACTCTGCCTTGGGGGTATCCCCACGCCGTGTCCCAGGAGGCTGACCTGCTGACAGGCCTTTGAGAGCCTGGGCTGGCAGGGGCGCCAGTTTCGTAAGCACAGCCCCGACCTTCGCCCCTTGGGGACAGGTGCACCCGGCTCAGCGCCCTGGTGCCCGGAGAGCATTAACCCTTCAGTGCCTGTTTTTCTCCTTCCCCCACAGGTGCTGCAGGCCACCTCATGGCAGCACCCCAGCGGTGGTGAGTCCCTGCGCG